TTGTATGTACATTCTCAGGGACACAAAAAGGCACACTGTTGCACATTGCACATGATTAAACGGAGCATTGCGTATTTATTCCAGAGTATTCGAATAATTCAACAAAAATTGGAATATGAAATACAAAAGTGAATGAATATGCGAGTATTGTCAATGCTATTGAGTTGCTCCTTTTTTTATAACTATCTTTAATGTAATATATTTTGGATTTAAAAGACGTAAACATTAAAATAACATTTTTGACGTGACAACGTCTTATAATTCGATGGAGCCGGCTGCACGCACGAAAAAACATGACTCATGCGGCGTTACCTCGCTCTGAGGCGTTCCATTTAAGGCTTGAAGTGCAAGCGAGAGCGCGGGACGAGCGACAAAGAGGCACAATCGACTCGGCGTTCGGCAGCGTTCGATATCTGTCTCTCTCCTACTTGAGTGAGCGATGCATCCGCGTGGACAGCTGCTATACAATAATACATTTCCATTTACCTCCTTATATCCATACAAAATATCTATCAAATAAATAAAATTAAAATTTTCTTTTGAAAAATGAAACCATTCCATCAGTATTTTCTTATGACGTTGTCACGTTCAACTATCGTCAGTAAACCGACTTTACAGACAACCGATTTTTTTTTAATTTTTTGACTTCTACTAAGAAAAAAGTTAACTGTTGAGTTAATATATGCGTATGTTTTGGATGTGATATGTGTTCGTTTTGAAATCGGTTTTACATTCATAAAAAATTTCGTGTCAAGAATGTCATTAGTAATTCAATTTTGACTAAGGCACTTAAGCATTAATATTTATATAACTTGTACATAATAATTGTTTTCTTAAGGTCTATTATCTAAAAGACTTCGTTATTTTTTATTTTACACCTATGCATTGTAACAATCACATGAAAGCTGCTCATCTCCTTGTAGACGTCAAGGTCTGAACGACAAACCTTAATTAAACATTCAAATAGTACAATAAACATTTGTTTAACATGTGTTTATCAATTTGACAATGAGTTCTTCGCCTACGCATTCAAATGTAAAGGAAATTGCGATCCGCTCAACTCTACATTTTAGGGGAATTGCGTAACAAAAACTAACGATAAAAGATGCACTTAGCACACTTAGTCGTTTCAATACATCATCTAATAAGTATCTATCCACTTTAGAAAAGTTACTAAATACATTCATTAAGTATTTTATTGGAGAACGTAAATTTTTATGGTACGAATAAATACGAAATTTCTTTTGCTATTTTTAAAATTATAAACTACAAAAAGTTATGAACACAATCTGAAATTTGTGATTCTAATTTTTCAACGGTGTTAAAATCTTAGGTTTGGGTTGTTAAAATTATCTGAAGAAACCATCTACCCGAAATAGCCCTGATAAAAAGGACAAACACTGACCTATGGTTAATTAAACTATCAATTGTTTATATGACATCTTTTGATTTATATTAATTTTATACTGCTTCTTAATATTCATAAACCTATGCAGTCATACAGTGTAAAGCAGTTCCTTTTCTAAATTCCTTTTAGTCACAGCAAAGGCTTCGAAACGCCTTGCAGACATTCCATTTTCATTTTATTCCTTAATAAATTAGTTCAACCGATGAATCAGTCTAATAATAAGTAAAGATTTGTCATTGGATGATCGGTCTTCCTTGATGCTCTTAGTGAATGCATGTTAACCTTTGTCATAAACAACGTCACACCTGTTCCAAAGCAGGCTTGACATGGATAAAACAGTTCTGTGCGAAACAATCTTTGATCTGAATTAGTTCGTGAAGGCCAGCCTATAAAACAATTTTTCGATTGCACTTACTATATGTATCATGAAAAGACAGGCATATATATTTAAGATACCTATGTAGGCTGTAACAATGTATACATACAGGGTGTCTTGTAAAATATACATTAATTTCAGCTCCACATGGAACAACCAGAAAAGTGGATTTTATGCTTAGTAAAAATCCCTTTGTTTTCGAGCGATTAGCACTTTTTAAATCGACAACTTTAGACATATAATAATCTTTTAATATAATTTTAAAGCCACCAAATCCAATCATAAACGTAGGGAAAAAACAGAAATATTCATCAATTAAAGACGATAGTTTACAAACATCCAAACTAGTCTAAACATTTGAGAGTGTTACTACACATAAAATCAAATTTTCTAAATGGTTTTGGCGTTTCCCATACTGATTAAAATGTTATCGACTATTATATATTATCGGAATTGCTTTGTGCAGCTATTTACGGTACACCCTGTATACTTACGTTAGTTCTTACATGGATATACAAGTGTTTATTCAAGCACTGTTTTATTCAATGAATAATAAATCCGTTACGTCCTAGCGGCAAGTTATATTGCATTTCGAGTGTCTCAACAAGGACAGTAGGTCGCCCGCAGGATTCCACTTTGTATTATACACACAGATATCTATGTAGATAAGATGTCAACAGCTTCGGGCCAAGAAAAGTAAATTCGTTTTCGAATGTTAATGTTTTTAATGCTGAGCGAAGGCGAACATAAAAATAACTCTTGCACACGCTTAATCCTACTTGGACAGGATAGGAAACAAGCCAAGGGTAAGTAACAAATAAAATGAAAAAGGAAACTCCAATGTCTGTTAGTGTATGAAAGCTTTTGACTTCAAGTAAGTAAGAGATTGTCTGCATTTTTAAAATTGTTGTGGTGAATTTGTTTTTATTTTTATTTTGTTAATCCTGATAATTAATAAATAGAAAAACAACGTAATAATTTTTTGACAGTTCCTGAAAATACCTTAGGGTCATTGGGATCAAGTTGGAAACCTCTGGTTTGCTGTGCATGTAGTTTATTGTACTACAATTAGTCAGTTCCCTGTATCCTGCTACTGTTTAAACTCAGAAGTGTGAATGAATCACAAAATAAAGACATTAAGAAACATTCGCGTTGCTGCTAAAAATAGTCGCATCCATCGGGCGAAACGTTCGACGAACATGCTACAAACAAAAAGAACCCGCTTTTGCCGCATGCTCTCTAAAAAATATCGATTGTCAACGTGATAAGCTCGCGGTTTTTTTATCACCGAATTGCTGTACACAAAATAAACGCGGTCATGAGTTTCCTGACAGGAGTGAAATTTACTTCCTTAACTCAGTTGTAGGTACGTAAGTGTGATTAAATACAAAGTGTCGTTTTTACAAAATGAATTGGCAGGTATTACCTATAACATACTTATTTTTCGTAGTTTTAATATTTAAAAAGTAAATTTGATGACTTGTTTATCACAACTTTATAGTTATAACTATCATATGCTTCAATTTTAATCTAATATAATTCGTATGAATGAGATTATTTATGCTAAATATAAAGTTCTTGATGGCTTTTAACCCACGTATTGTAGATTGTAGAGGTTACTTGACATTTTAACAAACACAAATCGTTACCTTCATCCATAATATCCAACTTCTGAAACTAGTTTCAGATCTTTTTGAAGAAGGCAATGGTATGAATCCCGAAACGTCAAGTGTCCTCAACAATATTGACGAGGTTTTAGAATCCAAGAACTTTTTTGTTGGGAACACAGTAAACTTAAAATTGGGTTATGCCAAAAGTTCGGCAATAAAACTAATTGAAATATACAGAGATGTGACTTATTTGAAATAATTGCATTAAAAATGCAAATACAAAATAAAAAATATCAATTTTTATCTTCCATTTAAATACTTTTTTGAGAAAAGCATACTTTTCCAAACGTATTTTCTATTTCTTAAATACAAAATCCATTGTTGCCGTTAAAAGTTTTGCTAGTATCACCGATCAAACTTTATATAAAATGATGAATGAAAGTTGCTCACATTGGCTATTGAAGGTATTTGAAGCTTAAAAAATGGCAAAGAGAATGTCTTCTAATTTTTTAACTGAAGAGAGGCCAAAAAATTCTAAACTCCTTGAAAATATTGGATCGATATTGTTTTCCGGGTTCAATGTCATGATCAATGGAATTTTGAAGTTCCAAATTGGTATTAGCACCTACCCAATCAACACTTATCGTACTTTTTGCAAGGAACTTCGAAATTCTATGAATTATGACAAAGAAAAACCCAAAACAATATCAAATTGAAATTAGCCAGCTGTGTAAAACTGAAAACTACAAGATATTGTGGTGTGCTAATAAATGCATGTAATCCAAAATTCTTACAAATCGATTCGAAAAACTTCACTAATTAAATGAACTCAAAGCTAAAGAAACTATGGATTCCATTTCTTTACCTTATTACAATGTACAAAATATCGGAAACAAAATGAATTTGTAAATATTTTGATATAAAATGATTGATGCTGATTTAACAGCAATAAAATTATTTGCAACCCTATTTTGGCATCAGTGTTTTTTCCAATTAAAACGATGCAAAGGCAAATAAGGAAGCATATAGAAGAATTATTTGTTGATTTTTTTTGTTTGTATTATTAAAGATTGTCATTTATCCTTATGCTTAAAATTTTGCTATAATTTAAAAAGAGAAAAACGAATATGACCTTTAGTAATACATGCAGAAAAACATGAAGAGCTAACTGTTCGTCATCAAGCCAGTCGGAATACAAATGTAACCGAAACCAATGCCGATTGAAAAAATTGAAATTTGCTTAACAGTACCTTTAAATAAGTTCATCACGAACTCATTATAATTTTGATACATGTGCTATGCAAATCAAACAAACGAAATCGATTCAATTGAAATTCACGGTAAGATTCATGCGGTCATTGCAGACAACACCTTGTTACTCATTATTCAGAAGGATATGCTAGAAGTGTTCCACAAACAAGTGTTAATTGTAATTTATTTTTCCCTTCTGAATCGTGAAATAATCAAAACATTACCATATGAGGTATTAATTCTGTAGCTATTGCAGATATTCTTCAAAACAAAGAAGAATTCAGGAGGAAAAGAAGACATTAGGAGACAATATATTCTACCGAAATGATTGAAAATAAAATTTGATAAAACTTACCGCGTTCCCTTATCATGCCAAAATTATCTGGAACAAAGGAAATAACTATGTTAGAACCTCACTAAAGCTTGAACATTAAAGTCGGTTACATAATATAAAAAGCTGCAAATAAGATCAAACAAATGAGAACAACATTGAAATCTATTGAATACATGCAATCGTCTCTTGGAAAATACGACGTGATACTGTAGGAAAATTCGTACAAAATAGATTTAGAGTTTCCTTATTTTTATCATACACCAATATTTCCCAAGAAATGACTTCAATTATTCGTTTATTTTTCTTATGCACATTGTATTATACCAAAAATATCTAGGTGTAGTTGTGCATATTTTTAATTCGAAAAAGTGTTGTTAACGTCACCAAGTAAATCCAGTGTGATATATAAACTTTGGATTTAATATTCTGTCGGTTGTTTTGTCGTTGTTGGCGAATGAAATGATTATGCAGCTATTTGTATGCGTACACATGCACAGCCTAGACTAAAATTCAGATTTTTTTTCAGAAATCGATAATATAATGCTTATTTTAAATGCGTGTACATCCTAGTCATGACTGGTAACCTCTAAGAATAAAAATCTTGAAATGCTAATGAGGGAAGGCATCTCCGATTTTAGACATATTATGTTGACTTTTGACTATTAATAAGAATAAAATAATCAAAAGGATTTACCCCAAGATTATCTTACGCTGAAGATGGTTATAATGTAAATGAGTGAAACACTTGTCCGCACCTTTTTAAATAATTGTGTTTATTAGGGTAAGTTCTATTATTTCCAAGCTTCTAAATGCATAATATTTGGGGTCATAGAGGTTGCAAATTCAATCGGGTATTGAGAAAGCATAGTACTTTTTGGTTGTTAATAATACAGTTGTTTGAGTATAAAAAATTCCTACTTCATGATATTTCAGCAAAATTAGCCACGGAGAAACTTAAGTTGATTTTCGTGTACATTATGCTTTTAATTTGTTATCCAAGTGTTTTCAGTTACTGAGACCCATGTTATTCAAGCAATCATTGTCATAAGGTCGCCAGGACTGGCTGGCGTGCATCTTCACTCTTTCCTATCTTGAGCTAATCTTCGTATTTCCTTAAAACTAGAACATCCCACACCCTTTACTTTTTATAAGCAGTAATTTGATCTACGTCAACCTCCTCTAACTCCTCCTAACTCCCGTTTCTACCTCTAATATGTCTCTGTCTAGCGCCCTTCATGTTTGAGAAGGTGTCCTACCAACCTATTTCCTCTATTTCTTATTGACATCCACACAGTCCTCTGTTCTCATATTCTTTCTAATACATTTCACTTCATTTCTAACCTTTTCTATTCTCGTCATTCGCGTGTATTCTATTCCGCCGCGGTCACCGTCCATGTTTCGCACCCGTACAATGCCGCGCTCTAGACATAAACCTTTAACAATCTTTTTCGAATTTTTAAATGATTCGTTCGCGAGCTTAGATGTAACTTCTTTTTATTGAAGGCGACTCGACCCTGCGCTTTCTGTTTTATATCTGTGCTCCTTCAATCCTGAGTTATCAAACTTGCTATATACCAAAAGTTAGTTACTTCTTCTAATTTTTCATCTCCTATCTCTATATTCGCTCCGAAACCTTCAACAATCGCATAGAACAGATGGGGTACCTCAGGAAAAATTTAGGTATCCGCCTACTACACTACTTCATAGGAAATCTTTCAAATGTATTTAGTAGTCTCAAGATAAAGCCTTAAGTTTTAGTATTTACCGTCAAGACAGACTTTGGAATAAGAGGAAAAAGCGTACTGCGATTCATTTTTGGTATTGTATTTTCACGTCATTAAAATACAATATAGTAAACCCAATTGAATAAAGCTCGGTAAACGTCTAGATGATGGGATGGGGGGGTCGAAAGAGGAGGTCTCCCCCACCACTGTACCATAAAAAGTTCGTGGCGGTCTCACCTCAATAAAAAGTTGTGGGGGTTCAAAGTTAACAAATATGCCAATTTTTATACATTTCTAGGCATGTAAATATTTATATAGTTATTCTTAAACAATATTCAAAGGTAAAACTAATGAAAAATACATAAAAATATTGAGAAAGTTATATAAAACATTATTTAAATATCTTTATCAATAGGGTAGGTTAGGTTAGGTTATCGGGTTTTGTTCAAGTGACCACCCTCTTTCGATCGCCCACCTCCACCCGCTTGAAAATATTTTTTTTATTGATTTTTATTTGAATTATAGTGTATGAAAATTGTCAAAATAATCAACTTTCCACCCCCATAACTTTTTATGGGGTTAAGACTGCCGCAAATTGTTTATGGGGTTTTACTCAGGTGACCACTCTCTTTCGATCCCCCCTTCCCCTATCCCCATATAACCCCCATAACTTTTTATGGGGGTGATACCGCCACGAACTTTTTATGGTACAGCGATGGGGGAGACCTCCTCTTTCGATCCCACCCACCCCATCATCCAGACAATGACCTAAAGCTCTATTTATGAATGTACCAAACGTTTGGCCTAAAACCGATGCTCGTTACGAAAACTGTAAACAGTTTTTCTCTGCTCCAACGACATTCGCGACAGACGTCAAGGCTGTTGCGCTTTACCTCACGCACTCATTTACATCGATGTGCGTGTACGTATGCGTATATTTACGTACTCTGAATATCTATGTATGTGGAATAAAGTTTGGCACGGTGCCAAATAACTACCGGGTTCAATAGACGGCAACCCGCTGAAAAGAGAAGAATATTGAAGTGATGATTGAAAGATTATGAATCATTAAAAGCAGGCGATCATCACGTTTTCAAGTGCTTCCTGCTTGCATCCTTAAATTTTCAACTAACGTTATGTTAAAAGGGCTATTTCTTATTTATGGTTTATACCAGGGGCAGTCAGGATATTATAGGTATGCTTTTTTTAATTCAATGAAAATTAGTCGACCTAAATGCTTCATAAAATATATCAACATATGTGGTAAATATGATTATTATATTTGACGAATTCTAATAAGTTTATGAAAAATTAATGACCCTTTTGATTCAAAGCTATTGAAAATTCAATTTATTCAAACCCATTTCTTGAATAACACTAATGAATCGCATATATCAAACATGATCGATTGGCATCCACAAAATAAGTAAATTCCTTGATTATATCATTTCATACTTTACGGCGTTTATCATAACTTATAACTGAGGGAATAGCATGAAGACTTCAAACACAATTTATAGTAAAATGTGTTTAATTAAAATTACCCCATTTTTTGTATTAACTACACTACAACAAAATCAGATGGAATATTTTTTAAAATTGAGTGATTCTTTAAAAATTCTTGATCGAGTCGATTTTATGTTGGGTATTGTTCAAGCAGCAGCATCTATCTATTACTTTCTATTTAGTTGGGGTTGCTCAACATCTAATGCTAGAAATGCATTTACACGATTAATTCAACAAATCGAACTGGGGAAAGTTGATGAAATACCTGGGTTTAAAATATTTCTTTTAATGAAAATCCATTAAAGTGGAATTTGCATATCATGTTTGCGACTTATCTGTTGAAATGAAGAAGGAAGGTGCATTCAATTACAAAACATGCAATTTATACACACAGCATTACACCGGATTTCTTACAAGATGTTCTTTTATTTACGCTATAGTTTAATTAGTTTCCGGTTAGAGAAAACTGGTATTGATTCTGACATTCTATATCTCCAAGTGTTAAATATAGAAAGCCTTATCAATTTACTGCAGTCTGTAAAAAGATAATTGTTATTTATTTTAAGTAAGTGGTTTTCGTTCTCCGCATTCTGTAATAAGAAATTATATAATGCTTTGTATTAATCCAAATTAAAAGGAATTAACTAACTCTGTTATCTATCTTACACGTTATTATTACAAAATTAATCATACTCAGGAAAAAAGGAGAATAAATAAGATCAAAATACCCCCAACGTATGTAAACAGAGTATGATGAATGATTTTATTGAGATTTTTAAGGTATTATCAACCTGAGCTTTTTAAAGTACCAATTTCACCCTAGTTCCACAAAAAACACCGAACAATATTAAATATTTGCGTAGAGAAGGTCTATTAGCCTGCGAATATGACTTGCACTAAACCAGTTTTATTTAAAGTAAAAACATACATTATCCGACAGTTTATTAACGCTTATACTTTTTTGTATGCACTTTTATTTGATATTTTAGATTAAAGGCCCTGTGACTCATATTGAATAGTGACTTATGTTCTGACCACCCTGTATATTAAATAAACTCTTTACTACATTCCTCTGTAAAATTAAATCAATAATCTCAAGTATTATTTATTGCGGCATTTGAAATTTAGAGTACTTTTGTCTAGAATTTTAATTTCAGCGCGACATTTTTGTCATTTCCTTAATAAACAAATTCGTAAGATTTTGAGTAAATATAGTCTAAAAGAACTTCCACATGATAAAACCTTTTCGGAGCCAAAGTTTAGGTGAATTATTTAGTTGCGCTTTCTAATTATAACTTTTCCATGATGATGGTATCCCAACCTAATAGCGGTTCACGTGAGATTAATTGCGAATAATATAATCCATCATTTTCATTACTACTATTTGCGAAAGAGAAAGATATGTAGAATGTAGATTGCTTGCTACAGTAATAATGAGAGTCCATGTGGTTAAGTGATAATACCTACCAGAACAGTGGTGTGCAGTTTTATTGGCGGTCATGGTGAAGAACTCATATTTTCTATAGCGTTCGCGTCACTGACCGATGGAACAAGGATAAAGTGAGGTAATGAGAGTTGTGTAATGGCGGAAATGCGTTGAACACAAGATAAATTTACAGTCATGATTTGATTCTTTCCAAACAATTAACTTATCTTATTATATAATGAGTAACATATGGGTACATTAATATTTACACTTACAAATAAACGTTGTAAACAAATGACTTCCGAATGTTTAATTGTGGAAATATTAAGAACCTTAAAATTGTTGGTAGTAACAAAATCTAAATTAGTTTCATATCATTGAGAGCATTAGTT